GCGCAATACCTCAGATGAACACAAGTGGTCAAAGCTCGCTGTAGCAATGAATCGTGGTTTTGTGTAGACCATTGTGCTGGACATCCAAGTGCAACCAAGAGCGTTTAGGCACTAAAAGCTCTGCTTGTAGTGACTGATGGAACCTGACTGGACTGTACAGTGTACATTGTTCCTGGGGTCTCACTTGTTGCCCTCCTACAGACTCACCCTCACATGACAACATCCCAGCAGGACCACAGGTGTCCTCCTGCTGCTCGTGTGACGATGGCTTTCTTGAGAGATGAGAATGTAATAGTTACTCCATGGACACCCTTGTCTCCAAGCTTGAGCCCCATTAAATATCTATGGGTTGAGCTGGACATCTAGGGCTCACGGACTTGTAAACAGGCACAGACCTGCCTGACCAGACTCTGTGAGAGGAATGGGGACAGAATCCTACGTTACAGTATCTGCAACGTGGCAGAAAGCACAAGTCAGATTTACAGCTTGTATGCTTTCAGGAGTGACCAGTAATGTTCACAATAGAACCCCTGTTGCCGACAGATGTTATCCACCATATTGAATTGACCTTCATTATGTCTGTTTGACATACGATGCACCTGCTGTTCATAATAACATCCTTTTCTTGATAACTTTGTGAATCTGCTGCATTTGTGTGACTTTTCTTTTTATGCTTACTATCTAGGTGAATAAAGAAGACAGAAGCAGAAAGTAAAAAAAAGGGCAAGAAGACCAATAAAGAGAGTGGCAGAGGTAGAGGAAGACAACGATGGACGAAAAGAGATAAAGACAATGTGGAGCAACAAACAGAAACAAGGATGAAGAAAAGTTCAGACTCAATTCCATTGACATGGTCATTATTTGGGTATTTGCTAAGGGTTTTGTACGCCCCAGTAACTGAAGATACTCTGCCATATCAATATTACATACAAATCCATTATCTGGGATATGACTTTTTAAAAAGGAAACTGGTTTAAATGATTTCCTGTCTATACAGTTCCTTCTACGCTTCTCGGTCTGGCTGCACTTTACAGCACAGGAGACAGAGGCAGCATGCTGGACAGAAATATGCACAAGATGCAGGAACTGTTAAAGGGCTAATGCTGTCTCCCTCACATCTGCCTTGAGGGCAACAGGCGTTTTGTATCTCAGGGTGCTGAAATAAGCCAGGGTCAGTAAGAGCAAACGCACACAACCGATCACAAGTAAAAAGGCTACCAGGAGGAAGACCGTAAAGGGGATTAACAAGAAAGAGACAGGAAATGGGAGGATAAAAGAGAAAGTGTCAGGAACACAACAGGAAAACTAGAGGGAATGAGACTATAATATCAAGAGAGATGGAGGGAGACACTGACAGCTGGAAACAAAGAGTTAACGCACAACAGTGCACAGTTAGCAGGCCGGAGTCAATCTAGGCTACAAGCCTGGTCTTGCGCCGTCACTTCTGTGAAATGGCTCCCCCGCCCACCCCGAATAGCAGGTGCATATGACAAAGCATACTCAGCTGTGAAATTCAATTAGAAATCCTCCCAACGGGAACGGCCATGCCAGTGGGTTTGGGGGCACACCAGCTCATCGTGACACGGGCTTCCCGACAGTGCCAGGGCCCTGCCTCCTCCTGCGGCACACTGCTCCTGCTGAACCGATCCACTTGGAAAGTCAACCCCTGAGGGTGCAGTTTTAAAATCCAGGTCTCCATACAGAGCATTAGTGTGATTACAGCCTTACTGCACACTGCGTGGGTGAACTCATTACTCTCCATTAATTGCTCTATAATTATTTTAAAAATTGTCTCTTAATCCCTCTGAGCCCCCGTGGTGACACAGGATGTACTGTTGTAAATGTGTGCATTTTGCATCATCTGTACAGGCTCTACGGCCGAAACGTTGTGTTCTCTTTCTTCTTTTTTTCAGCATGGAATAAACCTATTACTTGTTCCGTAATAGGAAAATGACCCTTTTTAAACCCCCACAAAGGGTTTTCACTTTTCAATGACTTTCACCGCAAAGCCCTCATGAGTTTTGTTCAAAACAAAGTTCAGACGCACTGCTGCTCTTTAGCAAATATTTTGCTGAGTGCCAAGCTAAATGAAATTTGACGTTTCGCATGCCAGCCACAGAAGGCATTCTCTTCCCGTTCTGTTTACTGATCCAGTAACAATGACCATTCAGCGGTTTTTCTGCTTGTGCTGTGTTCCCCATGGTCCTGGCGAGACCTAAGATTCTGTACATGTCCAGTAGGTCATCTTACACAAACTACTGTATTTTAAGAGACAGGGAGCATTTATACACTACTGATCAGTTAAGCAAGTTCAAATTAAGAAACTGAGGTTTTTGAGGCATGGGGGATATTAAGACTTTTCAAATGTTTCCTGAAATACTCTGATCAAGTGATCACAATTAATTTGTTCACAACCCTGGCAGGTTACTACCAGAGCCCCCGTTCTGGTGCTGAAGACTCCTGCTCCAGGCCAAACCTTCCACCTCTTACCAGAAGCACAGATTCCAAAACTACACTGAATGAAAAAAATACAGCCTATTCTATTCCAGAACTACATTGTGTCTTTTGAACTTCAAAAATGAATCTAGCTTCAGAAAGTGGGGGCACTTCTCTTAGGCCTGATACGACAGCTGGAGATACTTCTGGCAATATTAAGAGGTTCCTCACAAAAAGTGACAACGTTGCAGTTTGTGTCTGTTTTGTGTGAACAGATGCCATCATCACACTGCCCTTCTGTGGTGTCAAGACGTGAGGGCAGACTGAACCATACCTCCGTCTGGGCCTTGTTCATAATGTTTCCTTTATTCCAGATTTTTCTCACAAATTTCAAAAGAACACAGAAACAGTACTTCTTTAAAAATCCCTCAAGTTGTTTGAAAAAAAGAAAAGCAGAAGGAATGTTAACAAAATAAGATCTCCAAAAAAATCCCATTAGCCTGAACACGGACAATGTCTTACTGACAATAGAAAAAAAACTACACTGTTATACAGTGCTTCAAATGATTCTGGAATAAAATTATAAATAATAAGAATCACACTGATAATTTGCATTATTTCTTGCCCTCTGCAATAGTTCAACAAAAGACACATTACACAGTATAACAGAGCCTCACAGGAATGGACACTAGTCTGTAAGGAGGTGAATGAGGACAGACATGCACTCATGTCACTAAGTAACAGCTAAACAGGAGTGCCAATCGGCAGGAGACTAGAGGATTTTGAACACCTTGTGAGACATTTAGAACAAAAGAAAAACGGCAGTTTGGTGTGGTCAGGCCGAGATCCGTTTTCAGCGTTGGTACAAAACCAACCGACCAAGCCCAGATGTGAAGGAAGAATTTAAGATGCAACACAAAAAGCCACCCATTCATCAACCTGTCCTTCCTTGTCAAGGAACTGCGCAGCAGCATGTGGATGATCCTGAAAGGAAAAACAGCTCCTCTACTTCGACAGCCGCCCAGTCCTGAGCAGTCAAGGTCTCTCCACTTGTGTCACTAACTAGCTGAAGAGCTTCATATCAACAAGATATTTAGCAGTCACTTTTCTCCAAAGTGGCTCTACACAGAATTGCAGTTGGACAGTCCCTGTTAATACTTTTCCATCTCTTGGTGGCAAAGCAAGCCAAAGTCTGAGCAGGAAATCAAACAGGAGTTACCTGAAAGTGCCTTTATCTCAACCACTGAATCACACACCTAGACTCAAATGTTACGTTCAAGGAAGAGGAAGGGAAACTTACTGGCCCACAGGCACTCTTTGGCATGCATAAAGATCTCTCCTGTCCCGTTCATTTTTTAATCCAGTGGATTTAATTTTTTTAAAATCGCATTGGAACACAGACTCGAAAGCATTTTGGGAAGGCCTCCATCTTAACATAGTCAGGACCTGAGCTCGGCTGTCGCAAGAAGTGGAAAGCAGTGATCGCATACATCTGGGAGGTAGGAATATCACTTCACATGAGCAACAGGGTAAGAGTTACAGCACAGAGTGTCAAGAGATGACTAGAATGCACGATGACCAAAATATAAAGAATTGCTACATGAACTTGACATTTCATACAAAATGCTGGTTGAATAAGCAAGACAAAGGTTGATTGTATCAGCTCTGGCTGAGCCTCACTTTGGATTTCAAGTAATATACAGTATATGGAGACTGCAAGATGGCGGCACCCATGTTACAGTGATATTTGCTACATACAAGCACTTTAAAGTCTTTACATTGCACTGAGTTTGCAATTACATTTTACCCGTGGCTATCCAAACATCCATTTAGAGAAAGCTGCTTATTCCTGGAAAGGATCAGAAATATCGCCAGACTACGACCTACAGTATGCTGTCGCTAACTGTTGCTGAAAAGCTGGTCAATACATTTGTCTTCTCTCGAATTGACTACTGTAATTCTCTACTCGCTGGGGTTTCTAAATCCACATTGAACAAACTTCAGTATGTTCAGAATTTGGCAGCCAATATCCTGACCACGTCTAATGCAAGTGATTACATAACTCCTTTCCTGGAGTCCTTGCACTGGCTTCCCGTCAGGTTTCATGTCGACTTCAAAGTCCTCATGCTCACTTATAAGGCTCTCTATAGCTTAGCACCTCAGTACCTGTCAGAGCTATTATCATCCTTATCCCCACCTC